ACCGTAGGCGACTCTCAACTTCACTCAAGTTAGCTGAACTAAACCGAGCTGAAATGACTCACTGACAGGGCAGCTAGATGCTGAGAAATCCGAATTCTGAAATCTGTAAGCCGAAGGTTGGCTGCCTGGCATGCGTAGATAAATTGAGTTGAATGGAGCGCTACTGATTGGACTTATGATCCAGGAAGGCAGTTGCCACCGCCGCCGCCGTCTCTTTCGGATTTTCAATTATGGTTAATCATGCAAATGTTTGTCGCCTGTGAAAATGTTTTACATAATGCAAAGTGAAATGCTGCATGGCCATTCAAGCCATTCAGGTGAGTTTCAAGCCAAGCCGAGCCGAGCAGAGCAGAGCATTATAGTCCAATGCATACATGAATAATTGTCTTTTTGTGTGTCCATCTTACAGCTGCCACTTGGGCTGTATCCCTGGGATATATGTGGGATATATGATGAGCAAATGCTGCTGCTGCTGCTCAGGTAAGCCTAGCAATTTTTGCTGCCTGATTTCACAACTCCGACACCAGAGTGTCAGGTTGTGGCACAGGAACATTCCCTCTTCTAGACCAACCCGAAAACCCACTTCGTTCTGGCCTTTGCTTCGTTTTGGGATTAGAAAACAACCCCGAAACGTGTCACATTATGCCAAGAGATGGAGATAGGAGACATGTCCTGTCCCTCCTGCAACCGATTTTGGTTTTGGGATTAAAGGAGGCAGAGAATGTCCATGCGAAAGGCAAGCATGTAGGTATCTTCTTCATTGGTCCAATGGGAAATACCTGCTTAGGTAACTGGGCATCGAAAATGCTGCAATCGAAGAGGATTTGCAGTGGGAGGGAGCGGATACAAAGTAATTTGAAAGTGGTTAGCAAAATTATCCTTCTGAATCCCCAGGAAATGAACAGTTTTGTGTGGGCTCTTTGAAATGGATTGTATCTTCATTCTGCTATTCATTCCTAAATAGGTATTCACAGTTTCTTAGTCGGAAATAGTAATTATTATAGTAATGTATAATGGTATAACCCAAAATCCTTTATAATTCTAGAGATTTTGCTACTTTGTACAGGTTTCCCCAGTTCCAACAGTAATGTATTAGAGGTAATTTATCAACTTTTAATCAAATGTATTTTCCATTCCTACATGGAGATGTGCTCCCTTCTGTCCCGCCAGCCACACCACATATAATATATGTCCGTTGCTCATGCCATTACGTGGTGTTACGCAATCGCCACCCCAAAAAATGCCAGGGAAAAACTACCCCCAACCCAAAACTCGGCACCCCTTACTCTCTGTTATATGTGTGGAATTGGCTGATCCTTTATAGTTTTTACATGCATTCCCATGCGTATTCCATGTGAGTGTGTGTGCCATTTGGTCATAAATTCAAAAAGCTGGCCCAGCTTAAATTTTGGTTTTTCAATTTTTGAATGCCAGACCTCTGACAACCCTCGGATCCATGGTAGCCCCGCCATTACCCCCGCCGGAGGACCAGCATCTCGCATAGTTGTGCGTGCAACTGTGAATCGTGTTACAGGACCGGCCAGTGTCCTGTATTCCCCTCCCTAACTCCCCAACTTCCATCCCCTTGATCCATCCGAAAACCATGAGATTTCATTTAATTAAAGCATTTAGGCAGGGGTTTTTCGGTTTCCAGTCGACGCCATATGTGCGTTGAATATATTAAATATACAAATACAATCCTTTCTATGAAAGGACATCCCATCGAGAGCACCTAAACAAATATGTTGGAAGCTAAAATATAATACCAAATGATAAAAAAAAAAAAACTAAAGCTTAAGAAAGGTTAAACAAAGGTTAAGCTCGGGAAGGGCAAAGGTTCTCTCGGCTGGCTTAAGCCTTGCGGCCCGAAAGCCAACTCATCAAAGTTATTTAGTTAAAATTAGTGCCTGTCGAGGATGTCTCCCCAATATGCCAAAGCAAACAAGACGACGACGACGACGCAGAATCATCGAATGGCTCGAGGGCCTGGCAAAGGACACGAAAACGTTTTGGTTTTGGTTTTGCTTTTGAGTCGGGGGATTTGCGGGGACAATGTCGTGCCGCTGACAAGTGCGATGACAACGTCAAAGGCTGGATAGCTGGCTGTATGGATAGCTCTCCTCTGAACGAAACACCGAAAGCTGCTGCTGCATGCCATGCCCGACTAGCTGCGAGGCACCTTTGGGAAAAAAGACGCTCATCTGGAAAATCAACTTCGACTTTCGGGCCACCCAGGCATTCCACCAAGGAGCAAAAGATGCAACCCAGCAGCAGCAACAGCAACAGCAGCAGCATCAACGAACCGCAAATCATAAAATAAACTCTTTAATTACGCCTCACGACTTGCCGGGGCAGACACGCAACAAGACAGCCAAATGGAAAATTATGCAAAATGCAACAGCAGCAGCAGCAGCAACAGCAACTGAAATTGCTGCACAGCAGCAGCAGCAGCAACATCAGTGGAAGCCACTTCCGAAAATGTGAACAAAATTATAAAATCTTTGGCACGACAATGTTGACGACGACAAAACTGCAAATTACCAAATTATAAGCAAACAGCAAGAAACAAACTGCCAAAGAACAACGAAGGCAAGAACTTAAAGGAGGTAAAACTTTAAGATAAATACTCTTGGTCTTCCAATAGGCCATAGCTATTTATATTGGTGGGTCAAGTATTCATTAGGTTTTAAGATATTATGTATAAAGTTGGCCTAAACATTAAAATACCAGGTTAAAATGCATTAAAACTAAACCACTTTCTTTAAGTAAGAAAAATGTTAATTTGATATGATCACCAAATAATTTAAATGTAAAATGTAAATTGGATTAATATATTAAACCATTTTATTTTAACTAGAAAAATGTTAAATGATCACCAAAACATTTGTATAACAAATATATATTGGAACAAAATATAAAACATTTGACTTAAGTGAGAAAAAAAATATTTTAATAAGGTCATGAGTTTTTCTTAGTTTCTAAGATCATCCATTTCACAGAGGGTATCCAAAGAAACCCATACCCCTTAGGGGTCCCAAAATCCATTTGGCTGCCGATGATGAGGCACTCTGCCTCGGAAAATCCCAAGTTGGAAGTGAGAATACCAAAAAATGCACTCGGACTCTCACACACTCAGCATGGCATCCCAAAAGGAGAGGGGATGGGGGGTAAAAGTGCCGGGGGGACAGCCGCCCCCTGCTGTAAGGCGCTTTTAAACAACCTGTACCGCCCCCTCCCATACCCATGAAAACTCCCTCCTGAGCTTGGCACCCACTCGATTATCACCGAAAAACGATTGACCTCACGAATTCGTAATTAATTTTCACAAAAGTTTTCCATTCGAAGACAAACTTCAAACAAAAGGCTGCAGCATCAGTCTCTGTGTGTGTGTGTTTGTTTGTATCTGTGTGTGTGTGGATTGGTTCAGTTTGGGTTCAGTTTTTGGGATTGCTTTTGTGGAGAACCCCTCCCACTTTTTCCTGCGGCTGCCACAATGTTTAAACATTTGAGCGCACACATCTCTGTGGGGGGCAAAGTGAATGCCGTTGCCCTGCTCATTTACCCTCCAACTCCTCTTTTTTTTTTGGATCCCGATCCCCCTCAATCAGTTGCACCTCCGCCCCTGGCTCCTCTTTCACCTGGTCGCCGCTTAGTTTGCCTTAGTTTGTGTGTGTCGCCTAAGTGCTGAAACAATGTTCCAAGTTGTAAGTGCAACAAGGGAACCCAGTACAACATGGCAGCGAACGAAGCCAAAAACCCAAACTCCAAACTCCAAGCTGAACTGAAACCTGGAGTGCACCAAAAATAAAGTGTGTAAAAATGAGCAACTTTTTCAAGTGAGAAGCAACTATGTGGCATGCAGCTAGAGCTGCACGCTCGCATCTCAAACGACAATGACTAGCAGATTTCGGTCGGGAGTGCAGAGAGGAAAATTAAGTCATAATATTTAAAAATAAATTTATTTAAAGAAATAGATCCCTACATATTTTCTTTACCGAATTCAACAAATTTTGTAAATTTAAGAGACGTTTTTAAGGGCATTTTAAACAAGAGGTGGGTTTTGAACTCGCAACCTTCCCAAGATTTCTAAGCCTAGAACCTACAAACATAATATGTTTTCTAGAAAAACTGACCTAAATTTGCTGAACTACTTTTAAAACTCAAACCTCCAAGTGCCGCAAATAAAATATTAATTTCAATAAACTTATTCCTTTTTAATAAAACTATTATTTCAACACATTAAAAAAAAAAATTTTTTTTTCTAATTTTGCTGCAGATTAAAAATAAAATTGCTGTACAAATTACAAAATAATTTCGAAAAATTAAAAAAGTAAAATTTTATGCCAATTCTTAAACTGCAATTTTGTTTTAATTTTTAAACTCGCAAAATTGCTAAACCCTTTGTTTACGTTGTTTTTCAAGTGCAACGACAACTCGGAACATTTTCCGCGCAAACTCGCCAAGATACAAAAATTTCACTCAGCCCGAGACCTGCCCCCCCCCCTCCTTCTTATTTCCCCACCCCGCCCACTACTTTCCCCTCCCAATTCGCCCCATGAATGTGTGCACAATTTTCAAACTGGCAGCGTAAAGTGCACAAATTGCAATTGTAGCTGGGGTGCGGGAATCAGGACAAGATGAAGACGGGGGACAGAGACGGTGACACAGGGGGCGTGGGACAGGGGCGGCGACTGGGAGGGGGGCTCTGGGCAGGGGGACACTGGAACTGGAGTGTGTGGAGGCGTCGTCGATTGTAGGCCCATGCCAGACATGGTGGGCTCTTCAGCAAAAGCAACTAAAAGAAGTACTTTACCCAGTACAGTGAACACTTGACGTCGAGGCCACAAGACATTAATTACAGCGCTTAAGAAAAGAACCAACAAAATGCTAAATTGAATTACGAAAAAAGAGCAAACAGATGCAACCTACATATAACCAAGGATATTTCATTAAAGCAGGTTTTTAGGTTTAACTAAATTTTATGGAATTATTAAACTTACCTTGATAGTTATTAACAGCATATCATTTTAAAAGCCAGTTTTCGATCTTTTAGAACTGAAGCGATAAGAGATATAAAAAATAGTTGTTAATAAAACAGATAAGAATAGTTATAGGTTAATTGAGCATCTTTTTGTTTCTTTTATCAAACTTAATGGTAAATTGTTTCCCCATTTCCTAGAGTATCTCAAACGCTGCCTCGTTTAGACCACCTTTTTCTCTCGTGTTTGAGTTTGTTTTCGTGCTGACCAAATGCAAAGTGCAGGTCCAAGGCAGCCTGACCATGTACATTGACACTTTGATATGATTGCCAGGGGAGTGGAGTTGGAAATCGGGAGGTGTAAAGTAAAGTAAAGTGTGGAAAATCGGGGAAGGAGAACTTGGAGAACTTGGCAGACTGTCGAGCTGGAGCAGAGGAATCTTGTGGTTTGTTTGGCCAGCCAGCCAGCCAAAGTTTCATTTCGGGCCATCTTCTTTTGCAACAACACAGTTTACAACTTCTGGTCAGTTCATCGTGTTCAAGCATGAAATGACGTTGCACAAAAATCGCTCGACAAGGTGAGCGCATCCCTCTTAAAGGTGCAAAAACTTTAAGTTTTAAGTGGAGCAAAATACGCAAAAATGACAAAGTTGATGAGGTGTTCTTTCTGGGCGTTGGGAAATTAATTTTCGGCTGGGATGACATTCTCAACTCATCGTCAGCTGCCCCCTTTTCAAACTCCCCAACCCCTTTTTTTCGATCCTCTTGTCCGCTCACTTGACTGCCTTTGTTGTGTGACTTGTAACTTTAGTTGTTGTCTGGGGCACTCACAATTTCGCTCTAAAGTTTAATTTCAACGCTTGACTTGGAAAGTTTTTTGTCAGCCAAGCAGGCAAAGTGACAGGATACACGGAAAAATAAGTAAATACAACCCTCTGTTAAAAAAAAGATTATAAATTAAGATCGATGAATACATATTTCGATAACAACGATAATGAAAATCCAGATAAACGATGTGATGTAGAAACTCGTTTATTTTTGGTATTAAGCTTTATTCTGTTAGATTGATTAGATTGTTCCTAATAACACCCAAAACATGACTATACTAAAATATATATTCTGATAAATTTAGATACAATATTAATGATATTTAATGTATAGGAAACCTATAATTTTTGGTACTAGGCTTTATTCTGTTAGATTGTTAGGAATAAAATTTAAAATATGATTACTCTATTATTGACTGTGTTCTGATATATAAAATGCCTTTTTTTGGTACTGGGCTTTATTCTGTTAGATTGTTCTGAATAGCACCCAAATTATGTCTTATCTTTTACTTAAATTTTCTCTCCGTGCAGAGTCAGAGTTTGAGGCTTCAGCAAAAGTGGAGCGCGAACTCGAACTCCAACTCTGGCTGAAAACTCCTTCTGGCCAAGTCGACACAAATTGCTGCAAAGTTTTTTGGCATTCAAGTGTTTTAATGTCTCACGAGTTGTTGCGGAGTCGCAGAGCAGACTCTTTTCCTCTATTCCGCACTCCACACATGAATTAATCAAAGAGCAGCTGCAGTTTGTGTGGCATTAAGTACCCGACCAGTGGGATGGATAGATGGATAGGTGGATGGATGGATGGGGCGCAGGTGGGTTGGTTAAGACCGCAAGGCGGTGGCGCCGCTAGACAAATTCAACTTAATCAATTTAAAGTGCTCACCGCAAAGTCAACAGTTCAAACTAACCGCAACGCAGGGGGCAGAGGTTTGAAAAGCAAGGCAAACACAAGCCTCCTCCTGCAACTTGCCCCCCTTTTTGGCCCAGTGTTATTAGGCAAATTGTCGCACACACACAGATACATACATACATATACACACACTCTCACATTCTCACAGCAGGTTGTCGTTGACCAACAAGTGACCAAGGTTCAGTGTTTTACCCCCCATTGTCCTGCCAAGTATCCCTTACACTTTTTTCCTGCTCCTGCTCCTTTTCATTTCCTTGCCCTTTGTTTACCAACGTGTATTTGTGTTTGCTCTGCTGTCAACATTGGAAAATTATGAAAATTAATATGAAAATTGTTGCTATTTACGGCTAGTTTAGCCCGAAGTGTGTGTGTGCGTGTGTGCGTGCCTCTTCTTGGGTTTCAAGTGCGGCAATTGTTGGTTTTAGATTTAATTACTTGAGTCAACTTGAGCCCTAATTTGATTGAGTATTATGTGACATTGAGCCCACTCGGCGAGGGGGTTCAATTAACCCCAGGCTCACACGCATGTTAAGGGGTTCTTTCTTCTTTTTTTTTTTGCTCTGCTAGCCAAAACAAAGAGTCCCAAAGTAGCCTGCGGATGCGGATGCAAATCGATTGAGAACCCTACTAAACCGTACTAAAAAAAAAAGAGAAACGCACACACTCGACATTTGCATCTTTGACAGCTCTATTGTTGGTCGCTCCTGCTGCATTTACATCCTGCCACGCACACACTTCAAATATGCAATAAAAAAGTCGAGGGGGAAACTGCATTGATTGCGCTGCAGGATAAAGGACTCACGCAGGACCCTTGAAGGCAGTCAAAGATGTAAATGGCTCATAAGTGCGGAAACCTTGGGTGAATTTCTACAAGTTCGAGGATTCTTATAATATATATACCACTAAACTATAAATTACTAATATTATTCTTAAAAATAAACATTTCTAAACTTTATTTTATTACTCATAGCACATAATACACCTTAATTGAAGCCAATCTAGCATAATTTCAAAGCAGCCTGCACAACCAAATTTCCATACGGATTAGTATAAAATTGCTCCATAAAGCAGAGAAAATCAAAATAAATCCCTTGACATTTCATTCCAAAGCAATAAAATCATAATACCCAGCTCAAAAACTGAAACAACACATGTATTTCACAGGAGCTCAATAAATTCGTTATATTTTCAAAGCCACTTAGGAGTAATTTTTATTGTTCGCCCCGAAACTAATCCCATGTCAATTGTCAACGCTGCCGCTCAAGACACTTAAATGCAGATTATGCATGTCAAATGGAAGCCCACACTTCAAAATCAATTAGCAGAAGCTTTTCCTCTGAAAAAACAAACGAAAAAAAATTGAGGAAAAAGCGTAGATAGCAAACATGTGGGCCAGAACTGAAGTTGCCATTAAATGCTCGATTATGATGACAATTGACGGCTGCAATAAAACCGAATTGCCCCGTCAAATGCTCAGCCAGCTGGACTAAAAGGCCGGGCTTAGGTTAGATGAGCCTCAGTTAACGCTATAATGCCCCCACTCGTATTTACTGTCATAATTTATATGCATTTATGAGACACGCTTGGACAGAGACGGTTTTTTTTATGGAAATTTTATTTCCTGTAGGCAAATAAAGCAACTCGCCATGTGAGAGGCATTCGAAACTTCAACTTCATTATCGCGTTATCGCTACCACCTCACACTATTGCCCCTTTGCTGCATTATCGTGATTGCTGTAGTAAATGTTTTTTATTTATTATTATTTACAAATGCATTAAACACAATATTTAATTGCATCATAAAAAAGCAGCAGTCTGTCTGGTTGGATGTAAAAACCCTATGTCCCCTCTCCATATCGGTTGCCCCCACTCCCAATTTTTGATAGCAATTGAACTTTATTGTTAACAGTGATCGCTTGCTAAGTGGTTTAAATTGGTCATTGGCATACATTTATTATTCGATAATAAGTACTTTGTGCTTTATCATTTGTTCTATTCTATTCTATAGTCTACCTAGTATAGAATGTTCACTTAAAAACCATTTTAAAATTAAAAAAAAAAAGAAATTTCAAAGAAAATGTACCTACAAATATTTAAAATTGGTATACAACATTCATTTATTATTCTAGAAAAAGCCATTTGTAATTTTTGGAATTGGAAATTAACCAACCAAAAAGTTTTCTCTAAGAACATAATGAACAATTTTTTTTAAATTTCATTTATTTTTGAAAATATTTCTAAAATAGTGTTTAATTTAATATTTGATATTGGAGTTATTCCAAATTTTGTTAAACAAATATTATCCAATTTTTTTTTAGAATTTCTTTTTCAAATCCACTTATCCCAGTGCCCACTGTACCTGAATTCTAGGTGCTCCGCTTGTGTGTGCTCGGTGTCTGTTTATATTTGTCTCTGGTTGTTTGCATAGTGCAATGCTTATCGCAAATGCTTTTCCTATATGCGTGTGATATTTTTATGAGTTCTTGCGACCCGGGGTCCCTTGGATTTTCTATTTTCCATTTTCGATTTCGGTTGCCTAGTTGCTGCTGTTATAGCTCTGTTTGCTGTTCACAGTTTTTCGTTATTATTTACACAATTGACCCTTTCACACCCGAAAACTCATTGAACTTCATCAGCAACATCTACGGCAGCGGCAGCAACATGAGTTGATATTGCTCACGTACTGGCCCCCACCCTGAAAAAAACGAAAAAAATGAAAAAACCCTGGCAGTTGGAGTTCAAGTCTTGGGCTCAACTGTAAATAGTCATAAATGTTTTGTTTATGTTTACAATTTAGCTGCTGCTCCTGCCGATGTTGCTGTTGCATTTGCTTTTGATATTGCTGTTGCTGTTGCTGTTGTGGCAGTTGCTCTTGCTGCAGTTGCTGCTGCACCGTGTTGCACTGTGTTCCTGCCGCAGTTCGTGACTCCTCTAATGTTGTCGACGTGGTTGTTGCAACATGCTTCCCCATTGCTCTCTAGTCGCGGCCAAAAGATTTCTGAATTGGTAATGGAGCATGTGCAGTTCAGTGAGGTGAGCTGCATTTTATTGCTATCTAAATCGCTGACTCTTAGCCATGTATGTGAAGCTAACAACAACCGGGTCTCTACGATTTTTATTTGCTTTTAATTTGACTTGAAAACGGGGCTTAAATGTCAGCAGAGTTGTTCGGGCCGTAATCCACATAAGCACACACATATGGCGATCCATACCTCCACTCTGCGCTTTTGTTATTAATGTATTCAATTAAGTAACGGACCGACAATTAAACTCATTATGCATATGGTGGGTAAAATGCAATGCAAATAGCCCAAAGCCCCACTAAACACCATTATTATGG